AAAAATGATCATAATTTATTAGAACTAAATGAAAATATGACAATAAATAAGACGCAACCGAAAAAAAAGATTCATGTAGCCGACCCCACATAGTGTTATTGTATAAAAATGATCATAATTTATTAGAACTAAATGAAAATATGACAATAAATAAGATGCAACCGAAAAAAAAGATTCATGTAGCCGACCCTACATAGTGGGATTAAGGCCTTGTTGTTGTTGATTATGATAATTTTCACAATTTTCAAATTTATATTCGTTGCTACTATATGATAATTATGCATGATTAGTGCCTAATAATTAGCCCTAATCAAAAGTGACAGGAGTAATTAACCATAAAAGTTTGCATCTATGGGAAACCCCGAACCCAGATCATAAAGACCTTGTAAAATGAGGGTTAGATCTCTGGATAGTGCATTTGCACTATGAAAATCTAACCAAAACCTTCTGAGTAAACTCCCGCACCCTCATTTTTATTTTCTTTCTTTTTCTTTGAAATAGGCCGGGCCAATCGAATTTTCACAGCCCACTGTATTACTATAAGTAGAAATTTCATTTAATAAATTTACAATTTTGTAGGTTAACATAAATTGTTGATTATCTTAACACTTTGGGTTTAATATTATTACAAATAAAAATAAATATGCTTATGATAATTATTAGAATGATCAATTCAACGATAGAATAATTATTTAGAGAAACAAGAAATTTAAATGTGCATGCTAACTTGGAAAAATGGCACGAAATCCTAAATTTAAAATTCTCACATATATAAGTGCGTGTGTGTGTGTGTTGTTAAAAAATTCAACAAGCTTCAAAAGAAACAATGCATTAAATTATACTAAAAATTTTAAGAGTCATTTAATAACATCTAACATTATAAAAAGTTTAAAATTTATTTAGAAATTTTCAAAATGTAAATAATAATTGATAAATAGATTTATAAAAAAATTACAAAAACTTAAGTTTAAATTTAGAGAAGACTTATTGATTTAGTAAAGGCAAATATGCGTGCATGTGTGTGCAATACATAATTTTAAGAGTTAATTACAAATTTTCAATATACAGACACACACACACAGATATATATATATATAAACTTCTTCTGAAGTCAGAGTACTTGTTAAAATATACATCACTTCACCCGCTTCTGAGGAAATATGGTTGGGCACACAACACCATAGATAATGGCAGAATGTAGAGATTGAAAATTTTCCGTCATATTATCCGAACTGTTGTATGTTGGGACACTCTAGTTCTCAATGTCACCATCTACATATATAAACTTCTTCTGAAGTCAGAGTACTTGTTGAAAGAGGCATCACTTCACCAGCTTCTGAGTAAATCTGGTTGGGCACACAACACCATGGATTAAAATAATGAAGTAAAGGTGAAGAGACATCACTTCACCTTTGGAATCTACTGATCAGATGAGTCAATCATCAGATGAGGAGTGACAGGTCTACACATCCAGAAAGAAGAAAAATAATGAAGATCTACTTGAGCTTAGGAATCTGATGAATGATATTTTGGTTACTACGGGCAATGGTACTCACCTTACTAATTTGTTAGTTGACTCACTTCCGAGAACTAGAGACAGGACTAAAATGGGACGTCCCTAGCACTATTGTGCCCTTTTGTGGTTTTTTTATTTTTTATCTTTATGTATTGTTGCTTTATCTGGGTTTTTTGTGTGTTGTATTGTATGAATTGGGCTTTCTTTTATGCCCTCTCAGACAACATTTTTGTATCTTTTCCGTATTAATATATTTGCCCTCTGATTTTTTCTAAAAAGAAAATATATAAACTTCTTAAATGAGTTAAATAGTATAAAATAACCTATTTATTTAATAAAAATATATATGTAGTAATCAATTATTTAATAATAAAAAAATATTTTAGAGCAACAAAATAATGAATAATAGTAGGATAGAGTATTTATTGAAGGTATTTCATCAAGGAAAATAATATGAATAGATGAAAGACTTCCAACTATTCTGAACGAGTGAGTACATATGTTTCTATCTTACAAATTTTTTTTCTTCATTCTTGAATATAATACAAACAGCATATAGTTAAATTTTTATTAATATTTAAAAGGTTTTAGAGGCTTCTAGGTGACAAAAAAAAGTAATGCAATGCAAGAGTAATGTGTTGTATTTAGAATGTTTTAGACTTGTTTGGTTCATTGTAAAATAAACTGGCCTTTTTTTGTTTGAAGTAAAGTGAAGACTATTTTTTTTAATGTAAAAATTAATGCATTGGCGTTGGTCAAGGGTGGCGAAGTTTTAGAGGCTTCTAAGTGACAAAAAAAAAGTAATGCAATGCAGGAGTAATGTGTTGTATTTGGAATGCTTTAGACTTGTTTGGTTCATTGTAAAATAAACTCGCTTTTTTTTTGTTTGAAGTAAAGTGAAGACAATATTTTTTTTTATGCAAAAATTAATGCATTGGCGTTGGTCAAGGGTGGCGACACTTTAGATTGTGGTGTGAATTTAGAATAAGAGGAATTTCAAATACAAAAAAAATAAACTAAAAGCCGAATTTCAAATATATTGTTATTTTACATTAAATTTAAATTCTTCCTAACAAACAACTGAATTTCCAAATTCCCTAACACTAGGAAAACAATGCACTAGCAACGCTGCCGACCAAACAACACCTTAAGGTTTACTTAGTACCTTTTTTCAAATGCAAAATTTACATTATTCACATGATTGATTTATTCAAGGCAATTGTTTAGTAAAGAAAGAAAATACATATGACATCTTCATAAAATACGTTATTCCATATGCATGCTTAAATACTAGAGTCACCCCTGTATGATACTGGCTGAGAAAACAATATATATGTGCATATAAATGAAAATGACTACCTACTTTTTATGATGGGATTTGAAAAATATTAACAAAAAAAAGTGCTATAGCACACATATAGATAGTGACTCTCTTGATAAATATTTTAAATGCAATAAATATGCATAACAATAAAATCGAATCATATAATATCTCATTTTAATGTTTTCCCTTGAATTTTTATAACACATGAATATATACTTCACTACTAATATATAATATTTCTTAAATCGAAAATTATTGTAATTTAGAAATATTTTAGTCAATGGATTGTTTAAATCATATTTGTTGCAAAGTATTTTTCAGTAAATCCCATTTAGAATAAATGAATAATAGATATTATGTTTATAGACACTAAGGTGCACCAAGATATGAGTAAATTAATAATTTTTTAACAATTGTTAAATTTTTAAATTTGAATGGATTTTTGTTTAAATGATTCTTTGGAAATGATTAGCTCTTTTATGATTTGGAAGACTTCTAAATTTTTACTACAATTTTGTTTAAGAACAATATTTAGTTAGGAATTCTTCTATCAGACCATCTGTCCCCGTCTTGATATTCCAAGTTTGCAGGTCTGGTCGTGACACCTAATGGCACCTCTACATTGGCCTACTACAACTTTGTGTCTGAGCCTATACTTAGGGCACTTTGCCCTATTTTTTATTATTTTACATTTATTACATTATTTTGTCTGGCTAATCCTATAAATTTTCCAATAGTGCTCAAGACCCTTGTTCCTCATCTATAAACAGGGAATCTTAAGAAGAGCCAAAGATTCATGTTCCAAACTTTGGTTGAAAATTTTACTCTTACATTCCTGTGTCACTGAGCTAGTCTGATAATTTCCTTTATTAAATATCTTTTCCTGCCCTTCTAATTTACTCTAGATTAGTAAGCTTCTAACATAACTCACGGATAATTTGTGGATCAATGCATCATAAAGGGATTCAGGGTGTGTTTGGGGCGGCTTGTGTTTATCTAGATAAACAGCTTATCCTGAAACGCGGCCTACGGGATTCAACCTGAGGCCCGCATTTAGTGTAAAAACCTAACTGCGTTTTCGGATAAGCTGTCGAAACATGTTTTCTAAACAGTGAAAGCGTTTTGAAAATGTCGCTCGCACTTATAAGCTGCCCCAAACGGGCTCTTAATATAGCAATGTCTCCAATCACCAATTGCATTAAAAAATAGAGTTTAAATTGACTAATTCTTTACCATGCTTCTATTGAAATTAAGGAGAGAATTATAAATGCACCTATTCTTAAATTAAATAATTTTAAAAAATGTTTTAAGATTTTATACAGCACATATGATATCGTTGTGGCGTACTTTTAAGTTAAGGATGGAATCCTACTATATCCCTTATCAAGAGAATAAATAAAGTTAAACAAAAATACTCAAATTATGATAGAAAATTAAAAAATTTATGTATGCCTTTTATTACTGAAGGAATTACTTCTTGTTTAAAGAGTATGCATTTTCAGCTAGCCAATAAATTCTGAAAGATTTGATTTATAAAAAGAAATTAAGGCATAAGAATACAAAATGGGTTGGGTTTTTACAAAAATATGCTTTTATCTTGAACATTCAACTAGAAATAAGAACAAAACTGACACTATTCTAGGGCTCTTAGAAGGAGATTACAAACAAGATTTAGCGAGGGAGTGATTGTGGAATAACGAGGGAATGATAATACACGAGTTCAATGGTGTTTGAATGTCTATCCCGACTGAAAATAGCAAAGGAAACCACGAAATGACATTGTATGGATGGCAAGGAGGTTCACCATTTGTTCTTGTACAAGCTACAATCACACCAATTACAAAAAAAAATGATACAATAGTCCTTAGAGTAGAAAACAAATGATACAACCTCGAAAAAAAACAAAATCAAATCTCAGTTCCAAAAAAACCCACATACAATACATATAAAAGTTCCATAATTGAAAATAAAATTAGATAGAGAAATAGAGAAAAAAATAGAAAATATAAGAAATTTTGTTGAATTTGAAATTGGGAGAGTATTTTCTGTAGAACGACATTCCACAATCGTGGGATGCTCCACGATCATGCGAAATCGTACAAATGTGGGAGTTCGCATCAGCGGAAGGATCGAGTCCCGCTTCAAAACCTATTGTGCTCCCAGTATATTTGTAATTTATTTTGAACACTCAAAAGAAGGATATGCTACTTGTAGGGACTTTAGGGAGACATATCAAAACTTATATAATAATTCATTTATTCTAAATAAAAATTTGTTGTTTGATGATAATGACTTGTCTTTCCCTTCCTAATTCATCTTTCAGACGCGTCCTAAATTTAGAATTTATATTAGCGGTGCTTCTGTGTTGTTTAAGAGGGATAAGACAACAATGATACCCGAGGATAGATATTTTTTGGCATAGCTTGAAAAGAGTTGTGGCATATATTATTTTATGGTGTAGGATTTATTAAACTACCAAGGGGAAACATAATTAAGAGTTGTATATTTAATGCCTCTTTCTCGGGGGATGGACCACTTTATGTGAAGGCAAGCGACCTCATCTCCCAAAATCGAGTACATATGGTAGAGGAGTGGAGACGTAAGAGCAAAGTTATGTGAATTTGATTCCCAGAGAACAAAACAAGAAGACGAAGTGAGCAGGAGATGAGAGAGCGGGTGATTTCATCATTAGGGAGTCATAACGGGGTGTGCAATCCCTTATGTGAACCGAAACTAAGATTGAGAGACAATGTATTGTGTATTGGCTTGTAATAAGTGAAGCAAGAGCAAGATAGGAAAATTAAAAAGGGAGGAGGACCAATTGCAGTAGGTGAGCTGCATCAATGACAACGATCAATGATAGATCCAACAGACGATTGGGCAAAAGCTAGCGTGTTGCTTTCAGGGTCAAGCAAAGAGGTCATGTTTGCTACGAGATTACGTGAGCCAAGGTGAAGCAAGTGAGCGAGTATGAGACAGAGAGGAGCAGATGTGTGTGCCTGCTTGATCTAACAAGAGTACGAGGAGGAGAGATAGTGGGTGAGTAAAACGTGCATTTTATCATCTCCAATAGGTAATTATAGTAGCATTTCAAGTGAACCTTCATTCCGAAAACACAAATATATAGAAAAAAAAAACATATAATCCTTTAGTCTTCAGATAAATTAAACAACATGAGATATGAAGGACTTAACCTGTTTAATTGCACTTGTAGCAGTATCGCCATTCTGGAGACCTTTAAGGTGAGGTAGCGTTGGAGAATACCCATCAATAACATCTGCAAGTGGACTCCAGCGGATAGGATCCTACAATGAGTTACATACTCCTTCAGAGAGAACAAATAAAAGTATAAATGTTAACTAGAAGTTTGTACAAAATAATGCATACAATAAAAATAGCTCTACCTCACCACCTTCTCCAGAATTAGATTTTCCACCTAGCCTATTCATGGCAATTGCAATAGCTTCATGTGTTTCCCTAGAAATAGCCCCGAGAGACATTCCACCGGTACAAAAGCGTTGCACAATGGAAGATGCAGGTTCAACTTTGCCAACTGGAATAGGTGGGCGTTTACTCTTAAGCTCAAGTAGATCTCTAAGAACCTACAGTAAGAAAGGACAAAAGTATATGGACATCTGTAGACAGTTAAATGCAGCGTGAATCATATACATTAACAAAAGCTCACTTTATTTGTCAAGCATAGAAGGGTAAATTGAAATCATAAAGTAAAAAGAAACTAACATTTACTGGCCGGTTAGCAACGTGCTGCTGATAAATAATATAAGCACTTTCACTTTTCTGGCGAACTGCTTTATGAAGCAGTTTTGACATCTCAGGGTTGTTACCATGATATTCACCTGAATCAAACCAGAAATAATTATTAAATATTGAAGCCAGAAATTCTTGAAGTTAATGAGACGGAAATGATATCAGATACATAAAAAGGTTAAACTTGGATTTCATTAAGAAATGATACTTTAAAAGAATAATTCACATAAAAACTCTGCTGGTTTACTGTTAGTAGTAAGATCCATTATTTGCAAATAACACAAAATCAAATTCAAAGTTTCCTAAATGCCAATCATAAAAACCATTCAGCCGTGCAATATACTTAGGCTTACCTCCTGGTCGGAATTGAATGAACCCAAAGTTTTCCAATCTCTTTGCAGTGTCCTCAGAGAAAGCCTTCACCCAAAACGACAAGGTTTCCCGTGCAAGCTTCAACAAGAAAACACATGAGAAATAAAAATATTGAGCACGAATGACTTATTTGATGACAAGTACCACGCTGCAGGACAAAAGAATAGGTTTCACTGTACATGTTCCTCATAAAGTAAAAATGAGAGTGGTCAATACCAGAGTTGATCCAAATCATTATAGAAATAAAACTATTATTTCTGAAATTCAAAATATTACAATGACGACTCTTCAAAACAGAAAAATAAAGTATAACAGCATAAAAGAGGCGGAAGTGGTATTAGGTGTAGCAAGGGAAAAAGTAGATTGCACCCAACAATTGAGGAGCAGTGGAAGAAGGGGTGCTGCAAGCAATAGAGTTTTGGGTTCCAACGGCCTAGCAGAAAGGGAAATTAGGGGTTGGCAGCTGGGAGATCAGTAAGGTGGGAGCGCAGGAGAGATGGCAGCGAGCAGGTGAGAAGAATATAGAAAGATAACTATCCTCGTGGGAGCAAGTTATAGCCGAAGCACCTCTCAAATCTTTGGAAAAGTTCACCACATCAGAAGAGTTATAGACGGGCACATTCTCACCTTCGGATACAATGCTAAAAGAGAAAAAGAGGACGTCAATGGCTGTCCACACAGAAAACTCAGCAAAAGCTGATCATAATGACAATAACATCACATATCTATAGTAGATAACTAGGGAGAGGGAGGCCCTCCCCTTGAGCGGCACATAATCTGGACCGGTCGTCCCTCTATTCCACCATAGACTGAACCGGTTCAGAAGGTCCAATTGATTCAGTCCCATAGAGAGCCCCGTGTTAGTGATTAAGAAACATATGAATAGAATGTGCCGTCTTTACAGATGAAGCATGGAAGAAAGTAAAGTTACATAATAAAATTATATGGATTAACATAAGAGAAAAAAATTTAGATCCTAAATAATTTCTTGAATCAATAGAGTGACGGAGGCAAGAGAAATTCATAAGTTTTTATTAGCAACTAGGTTTTACTAAATGCAACTAATAAAAAATTTGAAAATAACATATTGATTTTTATTTCATCATATTCTTGAGAAAAAATGGCCAACCAAAGTTAACCTGATATAAACCAAAAACGGGATGACACTACTTTAAGTCTGGCATTTGTGGAATCAAAACCACTCCTTTTGAACTAATATATATAGCTATAGACGAATGAGAAAAATTTCCTCTAAAAATATATAACATTTTCATATGTGTGGCTAAATAGATATGCAAATTTCTCTACGTTCATCACCTCTCATATGGATGGATAGAAATACATTTCATTGTGATTTTATTTAGCACATTTTCTAAACATCAAGATCAAATTAGCTTTAGAAAAAAAAACTCGTTGACACAGATCTAGGGTTGCTAGATAGTGTGGAAAAATTAAGAGCGAGGTTAGATGAGCTATAGGATAAGAATGAGGCCAAAACATTGACGTTGGTTGTGACATCAGGGCAATTGGCAACTAGAAAGCAAGCTGAAAACAGGAAAATGCAGGCAGGCAGACTTAGATCTAATCAAGCAACAAGCATGGCACTTGAGAGAGATCAAATAATACAACACTTTGATAGGAAGAATTAGAGAAAACAATCTCAACTGCATAAACAAAATCAAAATTTGTGCAAAACAGAAGTTCACAGAGTATTTAATATGCCAAAATAACAAAACCCTTATGAGTAGCCTAACTGGATAAAAATAGTATCCTAAACCAGTCCCTCCTAGGACAGATTCGATCTCGCCATTCATGGAAGGGCGGATGCGAGACTCCTTGACTAATTCACCTCGAGTAGAAAGGGGCTCCCTGTTTTCACTAAAAGCATTGAGATCGTAATAGTAGGGTAGCAAATCTACAGCGTTAGAAGTAGCATAAATATTATAGTCTCGTAGCAGGTAATCATGTATGTATTATCATTAATCTTCTTCACAATCCTAAATAAACCATTAACTCGTAGCTTGAGCATCCCAAAGAAACTTGTGAGGAATATTTTTTCATCAACCTAATCCATACTAAATCTCCTTAAGAACTTGAGATCTTCTAGACTTGTTAGCCTGCTTCAGGTATTTGGTACTCTATAAGAAAAATTTACTTCTTCACCTGCAGATGAAGGTTTTGAATTTCTCTAACTATAATATAGGCATCAATGCTAAGGTTGGTAGTGGAAAAAATCGATAGTAGCTCTAAGGGTGAAAGGCGGTTCCTGCCAAATACAACTTCAAAAAGACTATAACCTGAGGAATGAGGAAAATGATTATAAATAAACTCAACTTGAGAAAGAAACAAATCCCACTATCTAATATTCTTGCCAATGAAACACCAGAGTAGATTTCCTAATCAGTGATTCATCACCTAAGACTTACCATCCATTTGGGGGTGAGCTATTGAACTGAACTAAATCTTTGTGTTAAGCTTACGCCACAAAGTCCTCCAAAAATGACTCATACATTGCACGTCCTGTCTGAGGTAAAGTCTTAGGCACACTAGTCAAGTGAATTATCTCTTTGAAGTACAAGTCTGAAATGTGTGACATTCATCGTCTTGTGGCAAGGTACAAACTACATAAACTTGGAGAAATAGCCTACCATTACCATAATAGTCTCCACTGCAATGTGATTGGAGAAAACCCAGCGCAAAGTGCATGATCACATCCACCCAAAGAAAACTTTGGAAAAGATAGTGGCAAATATAAACCAGTATTTTGCCAAATGACATATTTTATAATATAGAAGTGCCTCTTTATATCTCATACCAATCTAAACCAATGGAACTTTTTCTTTCACTGAGAAAAGATTTTAATCTTTACCAATGTGTCATGACATGCCAACATTGTGACACTCCTATAAATTAGCCTCTTTGAGTGAACTCTTGGGAATGCAAGCCCTATTTTGGAAAAAAGGATGCTCATTGAACATTTGATATTGATCATAAAGTCTTTCTTGACATTGAGCCCAAATCTCCTTTAAGTCTCCATTAGTGGTATACAAATCATTCAAAACTTCAAATCCATTTATAAAAAATTGTATGGTAAAAATAAACAGATGGGAGCAACCCAAGGTATCTACAATCTTATTTTGGTTCACAACTTTGTGCTTGAGCACAAAATTTAAAAAAGAAAAAGTTTACTTATCAGACGTGTATATCCATTATCTTATTTTGACTATTCAACAATCTTAAGCCATGTAGTTATTATAGAGAGCGAACACATTCACCAATAGATAATGACTATAATAGTTGAGGGTTCTCACTATAGCATAGAATTGCTTGTCATAGGTGGAGTACATTATTCAACCACTCACTAAAGAAGACTATGAGATGTCCTTGACACAAAACGGTTCCAAGGAGGCATCACACTCCATCTCGAATACTTGGTTGAATATAACCCCACAGTGGAAGCATCACACTCCATCTCGAATACTTGGTTGAATATAAAAGAGCAAGAACAAGGGCTCAAATAACTTGCTAGTTCAACACTAAAAATTGGCATGAACTTCTTTTGACCAAGTAAATTTGTTTGACTCGATAAGCTTTATCAATGGTTACACTATAGAGTAGCAATTCCTAATATATCTTCTATAAAAAGATATCAATCCATGAAATTGTCGTACCTGAGTTTAAAGTTGGGAACTTGGACAGTTAATGATAGCCTCGAACAATGACTAGATCCATCTCAATACTCGTTGCCGATACAACATATTCAAAGAAGCAAGTTTGTATAGTTAGAGAATAACACATCGTCAAAAATCACCCATAAGTATTGTAAATGATTTTCTATAGTACAGTTGTATGTCGAGTGCATAAAAATACTTGGAGCATTGGACAAATACAAATGGTGTGATTGTCCACTTGTATTATCCATCCCAAGTGTTAAAAGTTTCTTCCACTCATCTTCTGCCTGATTCAGATCTAGTGGCAACTACTATGTAAATCAATCTCAGAGAAGAAGTAACTCCATGCAATTGATCCAACACAACAAAACATCCGGTTGTGGAATGAAGACTCAATGCTTGGAGCCACTCATCTCCTTGCCTCATCCAGACCTGATGAAAACCACTGGGTAAATCGATCTTGGAGAAAATGCTGGTTCTAAAAAACGGATCCAAAAAATCATACAGTTGTGAAATGGAGAATCAATACTTGATAAAAATTTTATTCAGAACCCTGCAATCAATGCACATACGGAAAAAATCATTTTTCTTTGGCATTCTAAAAAACGGATGCAATCAATGCACAAGTACACTCACAGACAAAACATCTAGTCATAAAGAATAAAGCTGAAACAACATAGGGACAAGTACACTCACAGACAAAACATCTAGTCATAAAGACAACAATCTTGATTTGCAACTCGTACTCAACTGAGCACTTCTGGTAAGCAAGTCGGTTTAGACGAACAAACCTTGGAATGAAATAGATGGTATGTTGAATCTCCCTTAATGTGGGTAACCCAAGAGATAGACAATCAACTAGGATATCATGAAACTCTATTAAGGGTTGCACTATGTTTAGTATCAATGTCTCAAACTCACTCACTTCTAGGACCAACAACGCTAGTCTTGCTAATGCTTCACTCAAGGCAAACATAAAAATTACTTATGCCACTATAACCTCAAACTCTATATAAATGCTCTTTATCTCGGACCCATTCCAAAGAAATAGTATGATATGTTTCCTATCTTTAGAGAAGGAATATGTGTTTTTATAGCCGTCATGATGTGTTCAACAATCATACTTCCAAGGATAGACCAATGGGATATGATAAGCATCCATAAGTACAATGTCACATGACACACAATCTTGAAACTCATCTCAATTAAAAAACACCACGAAGCATCTCCAGTCAATTGTGATCTTGTACATATCCTTTCATCAACTAAGATAAGGACTAAAGTTGATTGTGCTTCTATACGGTAAAACTCAACTTCTTCAATATTTGAGTAGAGACTAAATTCTCATAATTATCACCATCAATAATAAGGTTGCACACATATTTCTTCACGGTACAACATATATAAAACATGTTATGACAGAGTCACTATTTTATCTTATGGGCTCAATCTCAAGGATCTATCAAAACGCTAATCCAAAGGTCAAGCTTTTGTTGCCTAATCCAAAGATCAAGCTTTATCTGTAAGGTGTGGTGATGCCTGGGTGACGATGTTGCTTCTATACAACAACAACAAGCCTTTATCCCACTAATTGGTGCGGGCTACATGAATCCTTTTTCTCCACTGCATCCTGTTGAGTGTGATATTTTTATTTAATTCGAATATATTAAGATCATTTTTTATACATGTCCAAGTCTTTTTAGGTCTATCTCTAACTTTCTTAACATCAGTCAAATCTAAAACTTCTACTCTCCTAACAGGATCATCAGCTGGTCGACGTTTGAAGTGATCAAACCACCACACAACTCTCTCTAATATTGTCCGCCACTAGAGCTACACCATCGCTATCACGGATATATTCATTTCGCATTTTGTCTATATGTGTCAAACCACTCATCAATCTAAGCATTTTCATCTCAACAACACTTAGCTTTGTTTTATGCTTCACTTTTAAAGGCCAACATTCTGCGCCCCAAAAAATTGCTAAGTGGTAATTTCTATCACACATTAGGCCTGATGCATTCCTCCACTTCAACCAACCAACTTGAATTCTACTAATAACATCCCCACCTATATCACCCTCACTTTGAACAAAAGACCCGAGATATCTAAAACGTTCACACCTTTTAATGATTTGATCACCCATAGTTACAACTCTGCCGCTAGAGCTACTACTACTAAAATTACATTTCATGTATTCAGCTATAGATCTACCCAAATGAAGCCCTTTAGACTACAATGTAGACCTCCATAATTAATTTTTTTTTCCTAAACTCTTTCTCTAGTCTTAACCACAAAAATGGATATCATCAGCGAAACGCATACACAAAGTTACATCCTCCTGTAAGTGCCCTGCAAGAGCATCCAAAACTAAAGCAAAAAAAAAAATGCCCTGCAAGAGCATCCAAAACTAAAGCAAAAAAATATGGGCATAAAGTCGATCCCTGATGTAATCCAACTGAAGTAGGTAAATACTTGGTGAATCCACCCTGTGTTCGAACACAAGTAACAACTCTGGTATACATCTCTTTAATGGCTTGAATCTAAGTCATATCAATAGATTTATTCTCTGGAACATTCCAAAGGACTTCTCTTTGAACCTTATCGTGATCCTTTTCTAAATCAATAAAAATCAAATGTAGATCATCTTTACTCTCATTGTACTTCTCCATCAAACCTCTGGATAAATGTATAACTTCCATAGTAGACCTGCACAACATAAATCCAAATTAATTATGAGAAATCTTTCTATCACATCTTAACCTATGTTCAATTACCCTCTCTCATAATTTCAAAGTATGACACATCAACTTAATTCCTCTATAATTTGCACACTCTTGTGCATCCTTTTTATTTTAAAAAATGGGGGCCAAAATACTTTTCCTTCACTCCTCGGACATCTTTTTCGTTTTTAAAATAATAATAAAGAGTTTAGTAAGTCAAGAAACTCAAATCTTCTAAATAATGTCACACTAGAATTCAGATATCATCAGGTCTTTCTGATGTTCTGCACTGAAATTTTTTTAAAGCCTGCTTAACTTCTTTTTTACTGATGCGTTAGAAATAAAATAGAAGTTTTATTATTATAAACGATATCAAGATCACTAAGGTCAATCGTACTTTCAAAAACTTTATTAAAAAATTTATTAAAATAGTTCACCCACCTATCTTAAATATCTTCCTCTAAGAAAAGTAATTTTTTAATTCCATCTTTAACACACATTACATGAATTAAATCTTTACTTTTTTTTTCTTTGTTTAGCCAGTTTATAAATATATTTTTCATCGTCTTTGACATCTAAGCTATTATAAAGATCACTAAAAACCGAATTTTTTGAGTCACAAATTGTTCTCTAAGATTTTTTATTTTCATCTCAGTCCCGGTTCTTTAAGTTTTTACATTTAAATAAATTTTTATAGCACAACTTCTTATATTTTATCTTTTCTTGCATATTATTATTCCACCACCAACTATTTTTATTTATAAAAACTTTTCTTTTTGACTCTCCAAGTACATATTTTGTCATTTATTTAACAGTGTTTATTACTTTATCCCACAAATACTTAGTTTCTTCATGAAATTCCCAAATCTTGAAGTTTGCTCATAAAAATATTTTTATTTGTCTTTTAAATGTCCTCATCTACTTCTATGATAATATTTCATGGTATTTTTTATCTTACAACTTTTCTTAAAATTCAAAACTAATAATCAATGTTAAGAACTTAAACTTTCACTAAGAAATACCTTACAAAATTTACATTTCTCAACGAACTCTATTTTTTATAAGCAAATAATCTAATTGTGTCTTATTAGATCCATTCTTATAATAATAATATATTCATTTTTTTATTAAATAAAATTTTAACAATAACAAAATCATACAAAAACAACAACAACAAAAAAAGCCTTAATCCTACTATGTGGGGTCGGCTACACCAATCCTTTCGCTCCATTGCGTCATATTTAGTGTCATATTTTCATTTAGTTCTAATAAATTAAGATCATTTTTTATACAATAAGCCCAAGTGTTCCGAGGTCTACCTCCGCCTTTCTTAACACAAGTCGAATCTAAAACATCTACTCTCCTAATCAGATCATCAGATGGTCGACGTTTAATATGACCAAACCATTTAATACGACTTTCTCTAATTTTGTCCCTCACAAGAGCTACACCAACCCCATCACGGATATGACCATTTTGCATTTTGTCTCTAAGTGTAAAGCCACTCATCCACCTAATTATTCTCATCTCGGCAATACTTATTATTATGCTTCTCTTTTAAAGGCCAACATTCAGCGTCATAGAGCATTGCAGGTCTCACCACCGTCTCATAAAATTTTCCTTTCAGTCTATGCTGTACTTTTTTATCACACAAAAGGCCCGAAACATTCCTCCACTTCAACCAACCAACTCGAATTCTACTATTAACATCCCCATTTATATCACCATCGCTTTGAACAATGGATCCAAGATATATAAATTGTTCACACCTTTTAATAATTTAATCACACAAAGTCACACTTCTGTCACTAGAGCTGCTACTACTAAAATTACATTTCATGTATTCAGTTTTAGTTCTACTTAAATGAAGGCCTCTAGACTCCAATGGATGAACTAATACACTTACAAAAATAAATTGAGAAATTTTAAGGAGAAAAAAGGGTTATTAGTAAACCTCCATATTTTAAGTTTTTCCTGAGTTTTTTTC